TGATGGTCTACCAGCCACTGGAGTGCATTGACACAAGGAGAGTCACCAGCAGAGATAAAGAAAAGAAGAGGACATCTCTCTGAAAAGCCCATTTCAGAGTGACAGAAGAAGCATCTGTGCTATGGTAATATTGGGGGACCTGTCCATACCTCTCAGCATTGGATAGATCATCTAGGCAACAAATCAACAGAATAACCATTATTCTTTCAGAAGGAGAGAAGAAATCTAGGGTAATAAGAGGGGAGGGGGGGAGAAAGGGGGATGGGGCGAGACTGGACAAGGGGCATAAAGAATAATTACGGTTTGTAACAATATATATGCTAGTAATATTGATTTGATTAACATATCTCAATGTTGAACCCCAAAATATGTATAATCAATTTTGATTCAATAAAAATTTAAAAAATAAAAATAAAACAAATAACAACAGAATGTTGGTGGGGTTACATTAACAATTACTCATGATAAAGAAGGTTACTATAAAATAAAAAAAGGCTAAAGTTACAAACAATTTTATGTACCTACTGTATTAAAAATACAAAAAGCTGGTGGTATTATGAGGAACTGACACATCCACCATTAGAGTAGGCCACCTAGCCTACTTAGTAAAAAATCATTAAGGTACAGAAAGATAAAAACTATGCAATGAACAAACTTGATCTTTTGGACAAATATATTTGACACTTCACCTAATAAATGGAGAATACACTGGTTACTCACCAGTGGGTAAATCAAGTCTTACCAAATTTTAAAGGACAGGTACCACATGGATGACATGATATCACAAGGCAATTAAGTTAGAAACCAACAACAAGGTAATTTTTAAACCCCGTACTTGTAAATTAAAACTTTCAAATAACTGATAAAGAAAAAAATCATAATGGGAATTTTTAAATATTTAAAACAAAATGTTAGTTAAAATTGTGCGACGCTGTTAAAATCATATGCAGAGCATCCAGATTTACATTTTTATATTAGCAAAGAAAAACAGCTGAAAATGAAATAATTATCCAACTTGAGTTAAAAAGTGCAGCAGAACACACCCAGAGAAAGTAGAAAGAAGAAAGGAAAGATAAGACAAGGATCGTGCTTATATAAGAGTTTCCTAGCTCTATTGTAACTTTAAGACTGAGTATCAATGTTAACAGCTGAACTGCCTTTACCTCAAGTCTACTGTTGTACTGTACATCGTAGTTAATTTGCAAGTAAAACAGCCAAGCCATAGTTACAATGATAAGTCCATAAACACGGCTCATAAAATGAAAAGCTACCAGCACAAAAATTTTAGAGGAGAAAGATGATCTTAATAAAGAAGAGGTGGTAGGCGCTAGAGTCAAGAGTAAGGCTGGAAGGTTAAATAAATGATTGCAATGATGGCCTATTTTTTAAAAAAAATCAATGACTACCTCCATTTACCACTGATTTACTTCTTGCCAGCAACTATACTAGTGCTTGTGCAAAATACTGCAAGGTGGGCATTATTAATCCCATTTTACAAATGAGGAAACTCAGGCTCAGAGATGATAATTAAGCTACTTTAGATCATATTTTACAAAGTGGTACAGCTCAGGTCTAACTTCAATCCTATTTGAGTCCAAAGACTGTGCACTTATCTTTGCTACATCAGTGGCTATTCCAATAACATTATTTTTAAAGGTGAAGATTAATTAATAAACATGTGGGATCCGAACCCTCGGGCGGGAGCGCCGCCGCGCTTTCCAAGCGGCGCACTATCCAGTGCGCCACCGGGCCGGCCCTAGGGTATTAATGTTCTGATGGTTGAAATATTAAAACTTTTTCAGCCATTTTAACTATCATTATGCAATCACAGCCTTTGGGTGACAAAGAAAGACCACTATTACAGCCTAACTTCTCTTACTTTTAGTTCAAATTTCCCAAACTTAGCCTCTACCCATGGTTCAAGGACATAATGATTAATCACTCTGTTGGATTAAAGATGTAGATATTTGGGGAAATTAGGTGATTATGTACTAACCACAGGACATACTCTGGAACTTTGTTTTCTTGAATAAGTACCTGTAAATCAGTTTGTTTTCTTGTCATTTGCTTCTTTCTGATAAACTTGGAGTGAAGATGCTGCTGCTGCATGATCTCCTGGGCAATAAAATGGCTGCTTTTTGCAAAATTGTATCAGTTCAAAAACTAAAGAAGCTTTCTCCTAAAGTGTTTTCTTACTCTCAATAAAAGCCATCACCTTTGCTGTCTTACAAGCGTTCTCTGAGATTTTAGCAACATTCAAATCATTCTCTCTTTATGGGACCAGTAATTATTTTTAAACATTTACTAAATCTGAACATAAACTATCTCACAAATGGCATTTTATTTTTGCACTTAATGTGTAGGACACTTAATGTGCTAGTTTTCTGGGTACTGGATAAATGAGACTTTACTTAAGAGAAATAAGGTTTAGAAATTAATCTGTGTTTGCTATATGGCTAAGGGAGAGGAAATGAGAAACTAGAAAATCAGAGAAACATACTACACATGAATCAAAGGACAATGAAATCAAAAAAAGGAAAAAACAGCAATCTTTCAAAGATGTTTCTTCGAAGTTTACAACATCTGATGTTTTGATGTAAGTATTAAAGACCAAGTACCAACTTTTTAAGAGGCATTAAAGAGTGAGCAGCTACATGCAATTGAAAAAAATTTACATGCTGGTTGCCTACCCAGTACTACAACTCTCAATCTATTTATTCAACAGTTATCACATTTAGGGCCGGCCCGTGGCTCACTCGGGAGAGTGCGGTGCTGATAACACCAAGGCCACGGGTTCGGATCCTATATAGGGATGGCCGTTTGGCTCACTGGCTGAGTGTGGTGCTGCCAACACCAAGCCAAGGGTTGAGATCCCCTTACCGGTCATCTTTATTAAAAAAAAAAAAAAAAACAGTTATCACATTTAGCTTCCTTAAATTTCTTTTTATTTATATAATAAAGCTTATGGAAACTAGTTTCGATCTCATAAATTTCATTCATTATTCATTCCAGATTTATTAAGCTAGCTAAACATTTTTGCTAAGCCAGATTATTTCAACAAGGACTGCCTAATTCATTACTTTTGAGGACACTTGTTAGATTTTTAAGTGTCCAACCAATTTATATTAAACTTCAGAATTTTCCTTTGCCTGAAATTTGGAGATCTGATCCTCTCCCCGCAGAAACACATTCTATTTAACCAAAGACAATAAAGAAAACTTATCTTCCAGAGTGCTGACACTGAAGTGATGATTGGTTCATAAATGACAATTTAGGATAAAGTGATCAATTTCTAAAAATATAAAACTGACTAACCAATAGGGTTGAATAAAACCAATATAAGTTACAGTCTAGTAAGAAATTTCAGCTCCAAACAATTTCTCCAGCTAACTTAGTTATTTAGCAAGAAAACCCAATAAACCAGAGCACCATATTTCCAGAGCCATTTAACTCGTCATAGTTACTATACATGTAACAAATACAAAATTACAACATGTGCATTGCTACAATATAAATAGCAAATATACTGGTTAGAGAACATTAAGATACTGAAAGAGAAAGAAACAACATAAAGATATCACTTACTGAAATCTGGTTAAAGTATTAAGACATGAAAAGTGACACTTTCTCAAATCATTTAAACTAAGACTTCAAAATTTTCTTTCTATGAAGATGCAACGACAAAATTCAAATGCAAAGAACTGCAATACCCAAGCAATCAATATTAACAAATATATCAGAACAGCACTACTGAATAGAAACCCTCAAAAAATACAATCTGTACAGCTCTGCATAACTTCATTCAACCTCTGTTGCCAGCTTTTCAGCATACTCAACCCTAAATTGTCCATGCTGGAGACTGTCAATGTTGTCAATTAGCAAAAAATATAACTGTAAATGTCGGTTTGATTCCCTCTTTTACTCAAGGTACTTCTTATTCATCTTATTCTAAATAAAAGGCACTAAAAGTTTTCCTTAACATTGAAAGATCAAGGAGCACAATACTAGGTAATGCAACCAAAGTAAAATATTATATACTGCTATTTCTAATTCATCAATTCCATTTTACTAACGTATATGATCAAGAGTTTATACTTTTGAAAGATGTACTTACCTATTAAAAAGCAAAACAGTGAGGTGAAGGATAGCATCACTACCACTAGACACTGTTGGCTTCATTGTTTGAATATATCTGAGGGCCTGTCTGTGCTCACCCTGACAAAGGAAAGCTTGAATAATCTTTGAATGTTGCCATGACATAGGTTTTGCCGTAGATGGGTGAAACAAAAGATCCAAACCACTCTGCAAAATGGATATAAAAAGTGGTAAACATAATTCTTTGGATTTAGTCAAAGTAGCTAAGCTTTAAAAATACAGGCAGCTGAAAAGATCTACTTTAATCTATGATATATTTTAAAGAATAAAAGCCTTATAAAAGCCTCATACTTTTGAGATCTTGTTATGCTATTATAAAAAATGTTCCCATCACCAATTTCATACATGAACGCCAAATCCTACCTTCTATGGTTCATACAACACACCAAACATCTCTCTAACCATATTTGTCCTATTCGTAATTACTTACTTGTTCATTTCCTCTTTAGATGGTAAGGAACCCGGGGTTCTGAACTGTTTTATCTTTGTATTCTTGATGCCTAAGATAGTGCTTGGTGAAGGTACTCATTAAACTGAGTCCTTCTTAAATTACCTAAGTAAATTATATCATATCTTTAATATCGAATTTAATCTAGTTAGGTATATTTTCTAAAATTCTAATAATTTACAAAAGTTTACATTCTAACAAACTTACCTCATAGTCATTATGATCTATCAGCCAAAATCCCTGAATAAGTTTAACATAGCCCCAAGAAATGGCAAAAGTGGTTGGAAAAGATTCAATGGAAGTATCCATTTTGTTTGGAAAGGAATACATAATATCAAGTAGCAAATAAATAGTCTTTTAAAAAGAAGATTAAGGACAATAAACAAAAACTCCTACATATATATTCAGAATAGGTAACAACAGAATGTACCATTAAAAGAGGACTTGAAAGACTTTTTAGTGTTCAAAAAGCTATCACGGTAACCAGCTAAGCGAATATATAATCTTATCAAATGTGGGTACAGTCATTCCCACGCCAACTTCATTCTCAGTATTTTATTACCACCACCACAAAGGAGATAAACTAAAGCATATATTCTTCATTAACTTAGGAGTTTAGCAAATTTAAAAAACAAAGCTATAGACAAAATTCCAGTTATCTGGCAACAGCTGTCAGCTTAAGCAAACACATTGAGTATCTCATAAATTATGAAGGGAACTGCATATTTTTAGACTAAGAAACTGACATTAGGACAAAAATATTATCACAAAGACTACAGGGCCCAAACAATGCATAAAGTAACATTAAGTGAACTTATATGTATTCATTTTCAGCACAAAAGTTAACCCACTGAGAATGACGATTTGCCAGCAATGTTACAGAGCAGTTGTTCTTAACTTTTTGAGTGTCTTGGACACATTTGGGAAACTGATAAAAGCCAAGGACCCTATTCCTAGAGGGAGAGAAACAAAACAAAACATAGAACAAAATTTTGCACATAATTTAGGTTAATCGTATATGCCATCTGAACCCAACCAACATATCCTGGTTAAAAACCCTTCTTTTAAAAACAAACAAACAAACAAAAAGCCTGAAATTGAGATTGGATTAGATATGTAAAGTTTTGAAACCTATACTACTCTGAAATTTTATGATTTTGATAATGTGAGTATTTGATAAAATTTAAAGGATACAACAGAATGTTTGCTTGCTTCGGTAATGTTGTCTAATAGGTATATGTCCAGTAATGCCTGTAACAAGAAGGGATAAAGACTTCAGCGCATTTTATATAGACATTCAACCACTTGTGCTCCTTGTTTGCCCAAGCCTGTATGTTTTCTCCCTCCTCAACTTGGCAGACCCTTTAAGTGATAGTGCATTATACTGCAAACCTACATGTAGACTAACAGGAGGATATTTTCCTGTGCCTCCTTCATCCCGTTTCCACAACTTCTCAACTCGATCTCCTAACTGAGAAACTAGTCCATCGATCATCAAGCAATCAGGGTTCCACTTGCCCCTGCAATAAGGGAAACATTAAGAATTGTTTATTATTAATGTTATTATTACTGTCAAAACAACAAGCGTTGAACTCTTAAAAGTAATAATCCCAACTATCAAAAAGAGGAGAGCTGAAACTGGACCCAATTTAGCACCATGAGAACTCCAGACATCAAGGAGAGTTGGTCAGACAAACTCTGAAGTTGTTTTAAGTTCAATCATCAGCAAGCCAATCAGTCAAGGTCAGGTCCCAGGGAACAATGCGGTCTAGCCAGCCAACTACCTGCAACTATTCTATTTTCATCATCTTGAGCAAATTACCATAGCATATGGCAGCCCAGTGTAGTGAAAACACGACAGTTTTAAGTTAAGAAGTTATAGTATCCATTTCATCACTTGAGTAATCTTTTATCTTCAGTGATTCCTCCATTCAAAAAATTATTGAGCCCCTACAATGTGATAAGCAAATATTGTCCCTGTCTATTTCCTTGTCTAATATTATCAACAGCAGCAGTTACTGCTTATTGAGCTTTTCCTATGAGTCAGGCACTGAATGAGGTGCTCTGTACACATTATTCAATTTTCATATTGACTTTATAACTCATTTGACAAATAGAATTAGAAAGCGTATGGGGCCGGCCCGGTGGCGCACTGGATAAGTACGCTGCTTGGGAAGCGTGGCGGCGCTCCCGCCCGAGGGTTCGGATCCCACATACAGACCAGTTCCCGCTCACTGGCTGAGCGAGGCGCGGGAGCAACACCGACGGTTGCAATCCCGTTGCCGGTCCCCGGTCCGGTACAGGGGCAACACTGAGGGTTGCGATCCGTTGCCGGAAACGGAAAAAGACAAAAGACAAAAAAAAAAAAAAAGAAAGCGTAGCAAATCTGCCCAAAAAGTTCACGAGAAGATCCGTATTATCTTTTGATTCTATTTTCCCATGAACTGTTTGAAGTATTCTTATACACTTAGGAAGTAAAAGATCTAGAATTTTAAAATATGTCTAATCAGTCTCCCAAATTCATGTTCGCTATCCTAGATAGTTATTCTAAAGTACTGGTTCCCAAAATCTGTCATGTGTCAGAATTACAGTTGCCACAGTCTTTTAAAGTACTAATGCCCAGGTGATTCTGACTTAAGAAACCTGGAATCAATGTTTGTGAATTATTTCTCTGAATGTTACATGCTGCTCTACAATTCTGTCATTCCAGCTTAAGGAAGAATATACTTCCAGAGATAGGACCCAGGCTCTAACCACTGCAATAAGGGAAACATTAAAACTGTTTCTTTCTTCTTTTAGTTTTATTTCTTTATTTCAAAGGAACCTACCAGGCTATTCACATTTTTTTTTTTAAGGAAAGAGATAAAAGACAAAATGAGATACATATGACAAAAGAAAAGTGGCCGAAATGTTGAAGAGTAGCTACATGCAAGTTCTAAAAGGTGTAACCATTAGGTCAAGGCAAACAATACAATTAAGAGAAAAATGCTAGTAACAAATTCTGATACTTTACTGAGAATTCCACCTGTTTATAATCATTTCACAACATGATGAACACTTCTATCTGAGAAAGCTTGACTTCTTACAGAAGTAATTTCTAAAATGTGTTCTGAAGGTCTGGATGTACTATACCTTGATAAACGCTCACACTTCTGTCGACGACTGGTGTAGTAGTTCTGAATTACTGGGTAGTTGTAGCATAACCTTGACAACTGCACAGCATCATCTAGATTTTTTTTAAGAGTTGGGAAAAAAGCTAGTAATATTTCCAAAATATCTCAACAATACTTAAGATTACACACATTGATATTTACAACATTGTTTAACCCACAGGCTTGCTAAAATAAATAAAATGTAATAAAAGAATACTATACATCCTTTTTTCAATGGACGTACAAGAGAGAAAACTGAGTCTTTCATAAAAGTCTGAAACAATAAGGATGCTGGCTTAAAACCCTGGAAACTTCTAAATAATTTTAATCCTTAGGTACAAACAGCAAATTGAAAGCAAGCAATTTTCACTATTCAAATTGCAATCTAAGAGAGTTATGAATGAATAAGATCAACAACAATTATACGTGAAGTGGCAGAATCACTTCTACATAAAATCTGATGTGTTTCCTGGAAATGCAAAAAGTTGGAGGCTTTAGGAGTGTGATCTAAAAAAACAGAGTAAAACTCAGTATGAAAAATTCTCTACTTTTTGTATTGGTTATTAGATAAAAAGGGGTATTTAACTGATAACAAATAATAGTTGGTAACCACATTGAAAGAACACTTAACAAAAAACAAGACCAGCAAATTAGGTTATAAAAACCGTACTTCATGGATCTATATTATAGCTGGTGATATTGTTGAACCCATTTTCAGAAGCCATGTTTTCTCAAATTTGCTTTACTTCTAAATGTTATTCAATCCGATAAATCTATATGGAACACCTGTTTATCAGGCATGGAGTGAGGCAATGAAGATAAAAAGTGAGGAAGAATGTAAGAAAAGATAATAGAAAAGAACAAAAGTGAGGTGGAAGAAAGGAAACCTGAAGCATTAGAACAAAACAATAAAATTATAAAGACTTAAGAATGTTTCAATTATTATTTATAGATTAAGTAAATACTTTACCTAAGCCTTCTGGTAAAAGCCCAGAATGAGAGAACCAAAGAACCATTTGTGCATACTGACAGATGAGCTGGGTAACCATATACTTATTGTTTAATTCCATCAGTCCTACAAAGAAGAGTTAACATCAGTTTAACTTCCAGTTTATCAACCACAAACAAAATATCAAGATACTCAACAGTTTTCAAAAACTAATTACTTGGTGATTTTTCACAATATGTATATATTTCAAACAAATTTATCTTGTGTATATTTTAGTGTGGTCCAAAATGATGTCACAGAAATCTCCAAAATGCTAAAATAAATATAGACATTTCAAGTATAAATTCTTCCATCTCTACTACACTTCCATTTAGCTAATTTCAAAGTCAAATTTATACATTAATACAAACTAGTACAATACAATTAACATTGTTCAGGACTTTAAATGAAACTGGTTTTGTTTTGTTGACATGGCAAAAAAAAAAGAGAAAAATAATTATAACCTCTTTGAATAATAACATACATACTTTAAAGTTTCAAATTCTACTGGAAGTACACTACCTTAACAATCATTAACCTTAACTCCAGAACTTCCCAAGTTTATTTAAGAATGGGCTCATGGCTCATCTAACATTCTATAGCCTTACTTAAAAAAACAAATTAAAAAAACCTAGCATTCAAGAAATAATGTCGTCTTCACACAATGATCCATCTAAGACACAGAAATTTTATTCTTTCTCTAAGTTAAGAAGTAAAATTTAATAAAACTCTCATTTGTATAAAACAAAGAGCACACCTTTTTCAGTGATCTCTTGGGCCTCTGTGGCAAAACAGCTTAAGACTGTATTTAGGTTGCTAAGAAGCAAATGGCACTGCTGGATAGACTGTAAAGTTTGTGGATCAATGAAACGACATGAACCGTCAAATAATGGTGCACCTTTCAAGGATGAAAAAAAAGATTAGTTTCAACACAGTAAATGTTCATGAATTAGAATCACAAATGCAAAATTTCTCAAATTCCTATTACTCAAAAGATTTATTCCATATGAGATTTACAGAGACAAGTTAGAAATGGCAAAGACCCTCAAGAAATCTAGAATGTACTTTCAATATAAAACTAGCAACAGAGTAAGAATTTGAACTCAACCTACTTCTAGAGCTTATCCTCATAACCACTACACATCACAACATAGGAATTTACTTTAATGACTGATTTAATTACATTAATGTTTAATGTTTAACTGGTCTTGAAAACAATTACCCTAATTCTAAAATCCTTCCTCAAAGTAATTTTAAAAGGGGGCTACCCTTTGGAAATGGGAATCTGGGTGGGGAAGGGTGGGTCAGAACAGATTTTTTTTTTGTTATAAACCATGTGGTTTTACTTGAATTCTTAAACTATAACATATGTACTACTTGGATAAAAGTAAAAATTAAACCAAAATGATGTCTTTAAAAAAATGAACAAAATAAAATCCTTCTTCAAATCAAATTCTAATTTGCTTTATTTCCAATACATTTAAAACACTTGTTAAGTGCTGTATTTTTAATTATTCCTAGAGGCTTTTTTTAAAAAAAGAAAACTCCATTAACTGGCAAAAAGCTCAAGGCAGCAACAATGGCTGAGTTATCAAATTCAAGCCCAAAACACCACATTATGCTCAAAACGTAAGTCATATAATTCAGAGTTGAATTTAAAAAAATCAAAAACCCATATACAATAAGCCCTGACAAACATTTTACTCTTAAAAAACACATACATTTTTACCCTAATCCTAAATTATCAGGAGTGAAATATTTAAAATTAATTATTTCATGTTTACAGTTTCATAAGCGTTGCCTAAAAATAATATAGGACCCCAGGTCTTCCTAACAAATTTTGTTGGCTTAGAATTCCCTACTAAGAATAACTTAAGTTATGGAAAGCTATTTATAGTCAAATGTCTTCAAAAGTTCATTTGTTCATTCATCATGACACAACAGAAATGACCAACACATACATACATCTAAATGACCTTAAATTTTATTTTCTCTTACAGTGCAATCACACATCTCCGATTGCTACTACTTTTAACATTATTTTTACACTAACTGGACATGAATGATTTTTAATACTGACAGGGTACCTCAAAATTGAAAGTATACAACAGACTAATAAACAAGATTGACATCTGTTGGTGGAGGACAGAGTATGTGATACACTTTTACCCTGCCATCTGGCTTTTTCACCTCTGAGAGTTGGGATATGTTGGCCCTGACAAAAGGCATATTGAAATCTGACCCCCAGTGTTGGGAGTTGTTTGAGTCATGGAGGCGGATCTCTCACGAATGGATTAATGCTCTCCCTGGGGGAGAGGGGCCTGAGTGAGATCTTGCTCTATTAGTTTCCGCAAGAGCTGGTTGTTTAAGAGACCCTGGCACCTCTCTCTTTCTCTCTCTTGCTTCCTCTCACCACGTGATCTGCTTGTACCCGCTGGCTGCCTGCAGCTTTCCACCATGAACAGAAGCAGCCTGAGGCCCGTGCCAGATGCAGCTGTCCCAGAATTGTAAGCCAAATAAACCTCTGTTCTTTATAAATTACCTAGTCTCAGGTGTTCTGTTATAACAACACAAAATGGACTAATACAACATCCATAAATATTTTAAATAGAAAGCGAATAAGGAGAGGAGCTTCTGAGGTTAACTGGTAGATGCCCTTAACACCATCATCAGCAAGTTTTGTAAATTAAATTCCTAAGACCAAAAGATTAAGGTATAAATCTGAAACCTGCTATTATGGGCATATCAGCATGCTGCCAGTTTAACAATCTATTGCAAAATCTTGGCAAAAAATTACTTTTGTCACTTTAATGTGTAACAAGAAAGTTTTCTTCTGGGACTTCTTTAAATTCTAAGAATTTATAACTTCAAAAGCATTAAAAATTATTATTATGTACTTAAAAATGAACCGAGATTGCTTTTTTAATATTAAATTCTGCCCTAAATCTACAAACTTCTAATACTTACATAGTCTGTCAAATTCCTCTTTGGCAAAAACTACTTTATTCCATGTCCATTCGAGAACAAAGTGCAAATTAGCAGCAGAATTTGGTTGTTCTTATTTGTAAATATGAAAGGAAAAAATAAAGAATGATTATTAATTACAAACAGAAGGCTAGTAACTTTTCAACAGAGAAACCTGACAGACAGCACTCTACCCAAGAACATGAAGTGAACGTAAACATTAATGGAGATAAACTGATATACGTATCCTTCTCAGTGCACATCAGGGAGTACATCATTTTAGGCAGTCTTGCTGCCAAAAAGGTTACACCTGAATCAAATCATGAGGAAAAATCAACAATCACAAACTGAAAGGCAGTCTACAAAATAATAGGCCTATATTCTCTAAAAAAAAAAAAAAAAGTCAATGTCTTAAAAGACAAAAGCTTAGAAACTGCACCAGATTAAGGGAGATTAAAAAGACATTAAAAACTAAATATAAAGCATGATTCTGGACTTCATCTCCCCCAAAACTGCTATAAAGAACATTATTAGGATAACTGGAGAGATTTCAATGAAGTCTCTAGCATGTATCAGTGTTAATTTTCTTGATTTTTTTATAGTCACAAAGTGCTTTTATAAGTCAATGTTCTTATTCTTAGAAGCAAACAATACTGAAATATTTATGGGTAAAGAAGTATGATATTTTATTCTCAAACAGTCCAGAACAAAAGGGTGTGTGTGTGTGTGTGTGTGTGTGTGTGTAAAGCATGATAATGATACACACAACAACCTGGATGAATCACCAGAGAATTTTGCCGTGTGGAAAGTTAATTCCCCAAAGTCACCTATTGTATGATTCCATTTATGAACATGTTTGAATTGACAAAATTATAAAGAGAGAGAACAGATTAGCAGTTGCCAGGAGTTAGGGATGGGATGGAGAAAGTAGGAGGCATGGCTATAAAAGGGTAACATGAAGGATCCTGCTTGTGATATTGTACTAGAGGTTTGCCATATAGTACCACTGGGGGAAAATGTGGTAAAGGGTACACAGGATCTCTCTGTTATATCTTACAACTACATGGGAATCATCCAATTATCTCAAAATAAAAAGTTTATCAAACCCAACAACAGTGAACTGATAAAATACACAACCAATGTTTTAATTGTTAAAAATCAGAATCTTACTTTCTGTTATCCATCTTTTGATAAAACCAGTCAAAAGTCCAAGGCAACTTGTGTGAACTGCTGCTGACAATATAGCTTCCAACTGTTCTTCCTAACCCATGCAATAAAAAAAGAAAAAAATGAAAAGAGGATATGAATCAAAAGCAGCAAGTTCTAGTTCAGAATACAAAATTTTAAAGGCTAAAAATTCATTATGACCCACTAAGATGGCTACAATCAAAAAGACAGACAATAACAAGCATTGGTGATGATGTAGACAAACTGGAATCCTCATACACTGCTGGTGGGAATGTAAAATGGTACAGCCACTTTGAAAAACAGTCTGGAAATCCTCAAAGTGATCCAGTAATTCCACACCTAGGTACATACCCAAGATAAATGAAAATACATGTCTACTGTATATATAAAAACTTCACATGAAGGTTCATATCAGCATTATTCATAATAGCCAATAAGTGGAAACAACACAAATGCCCATCAACTGAAGAAAAGATACACAAAATGTGGTATACTCATACAATAGATAATACAGCCATAAAATGGGATGACGTATTGACTTCTCACCACACAGATGAACCTTGAAACATTATGCTAAATGAAAGAAGCCAGTCACAAAAGACCACATATAGGTTAAGCATCCCAAATTGGAAAATCCAAAATGCTCCAAAATCTGAAATTTTTTGAGCACCATGACATGACACTCAAAAGAAATGCTCATTGGAGCATTTCAGATTTTTGGATTAGGGATGTTCAACCCGTTAGTATCATGTAAATATTCCAAAATCTAAACAAATCCAAAATCCAAAACACTTCTTGTCTCAAGCATTTCAAATAAGGGATAATCAACCCGTATCCATTGGGAATTTTAAGATTTTAGCTTCTGTGACTGAGTCTGACTTTGTAAGTCATCATGATTTTTGCTGTAGGAACCTGTAATCTTCACTATTAGTCTTTCACAAGATACTGGCTTCTATAGAGCAGTGGTTCTCAAATATGGCATAAGAATCACATCTAGAGATGTTAAAACACACTCCCAGAGTTTCTGATTTAGTAGCTCTAGGGCAGGAATCAAGAATTTGCATTTTCGTAAGTTTCCAAGGTGATGCTGATACCAGGGATGTTATCTTCTTACTACAGATCTTGAGATTCACCTCATGATCCAAGCCAAGATGGTTTCTGCTCATGTGGTCTCATGCGCTTGTACCTACGCAGTTCTCTCTGGAGGCTAGGAAATGGCCTTTAGACTGCAATAAGGACTCTCTATTCATGACATGCCTGATGCAGCCAGGATGTGTTTCCGGTCCTATATCCTTCTACACAGCTAAGTGAACCTGGTACCAAGTTATGGCCTGTTGGGTCTTGGGTATATGAATTTTAAGCCAAACTCAAGTCTACAGCTACTGATCATGCAGAGTGGGCATTATACTACGTCACCTACTTCAGGCAGAAATTGTCAGATTTTTATTGTAATAAAATCAATAAAGTTAAAAATCATCTCACTTGACTTAAACTAGAAGGCTGAATATCAATAAGTCTTGGTGAAAGAAGCCCAGCTACAAGGCATCGATTATAACCATCAGGAATGACTTCACTGAGAGATGGTCCTGATTTCTTTAAAAAAGTCAAAGTCTGTAATAGATAAATTAATAAGATATCAGTCAGTACTCAATTCAAATTTAAGAATAAATTAATCACTTTATACTTAAAATCTGAATAAAACTAAAAAATATCAAATGGAAATTATGAAAGACAGCATTTCCTTGCATGGAAAAGTTTATAGGTTTGTGAGCTAAACCAATGCTTGCTAATTATGAATGATAATACTTACTGATAAGGGTATTTTAGGTAGCTTAATATTTTTATGAAAGATAACCCTATTATCTTCTCTAAAGCTGAGAAACTTTGTGACAGATCTTGATGAACTTGACACACATAGCAAAAAAAAAAAAAAAAACCCTGCAGTTTATTCCTCTTTGTCTAATGTGAAAGAGACTTCACATGCATTATAAATATGGCATTCTTGCAACTTCCTGTGACAGTATAATGAAACATTAAAAAATATATTTTATATTTAAATATATAAAATTAAAATTTTATATTATTTTAAAATTATTATATAATTTTATGTATTAAAATTATATATATATATGGCATTCATTCACATGTGGTTGATTATCAATTAAGAGGTCTGCCACATCATGTTTCCCTAGAAAAGTATTTTTCAACACACTTTTTTTTTGTGCCAGGCACTATGCCACTGTCCTGGGTACCTTCTCTGCATTACTTAATTTGCTCACAAATTTCTGAGGAGAACTATGAGGAAGGATAAAAAAGGATGTGGTAAGGCACAGACCTACTTTGCTCTTTTCTTTGGGGTTCAAGTAGCTAACATCCACATAAAGCTGCTAAAAACATCCTGAGACCTCTTCTGGCAGGTTGTCATTAGTAATTGATGCTTCTAGCTGCTAATCTCATAAATTTAGCAGACACTACTATTTAAGCTGAAACACTTGTTTATATAATTAACACTATATAAAGCTTAAATCCATGAATCAAGTATATTCCAAGATCTGATTTCAGTTCAATTAAGAAGTACTTTGTCCACATTTCCAGTTGTTACCTACCTCTTTCTGAAAGCCAGTACAAGTTATATGAACAACTCCTGAGTTTAACAAACAAGTGGCATCTGAAAAAAAAAAAAATTTAAATCCAATTACATATTATATTTAAAATGGCATTAATACAACAAAACTTATCCTAAGAACAGATTGTTATGCAAAGTGTCAAATTATTATATATACTAAATTTTCAAATAAACTTTTCCAGGTATATTCATCCTAAGAATAAATAACAAACCTTATTACAAATGCACTAAATATAAAATAGTTATATCTTGTCTAGCATATTCAAAATAAGTGATAATTTCTTTATAAAATACATGTATTACTTTTCTCATGTACATATATAAAGTTAATTTTCTCAGTTATCCACATGTGGGTGAGATATGAACAGATAACACTGTACATATAAACTACACACACACACCTACATGTTTTTGCACGTTACTTTTCTTAAAAGGAATCTTAAGGATATACGTACCAAAATTGTAAGTACTCGGGTTAAAAAACTGCTCAGGAGGTGGATAAGAAAGAGGAACTCCTCGACCTAAACTTCTCTCGTGTACTAATATATCCAAGATGTAATGTGGAGAAGTCCTAATTACAACAGAATCCAATGACCACAGTGCAAAATAAGAGCAATTATGTAGATATTCTCCTGATCTAAAAGAAAATTTTAAAAATTACTCAGTCATTGATAAGCTACACATACAAATACCAGAGAGAAAGAGAAAAGAATCATACCTTAACGAATCTGGCATTTGTGCATGATACCAACGATTTATGTCGAAAAGCCCCAGGTATATAGAAGGCTTTCCCTGGCCATATACATTCACCTGCCAGGTAAATACTGAAACACTAGTGTCAGGAGAGAGAGCTGAAAGAAAAAAAACGATAATTTTTAAAAAGTAGAATAAAGAACCTCAAAGTAAAATCACCCCAACAGAATTATAGCAAGATTTTTCTCATAAATTAAGAGGTTTAATTTATATTTCATTTGATTTGTCAAAACACAATTCTATCATCTGTGTATAAAAAGAGACTCATTCATTTCATCTTGACTATTTATATCAAGACCTTATTAAAAATACTCATCAGAAAAATTATGTCCTGGCTTGTTTTCAGTTAACACTTTGAAGTACTGGAGTTAGAAAGTTAGAAAATAATTAGAGTGAATATTCTCCCAAGGAAGGTACATAGTATACATAGTATGAGAAGTTAATTTACTACCTAAAATGGATGTCTAAAGGCTAAAATGGGCATTAAGGCTTAATTCTTCAGAGGAACCTTGGTTGAGAAGGACTGATCTAGCTATATGGTGAAAGGAAAAAAAGACAAGTACTTGGATGGTGTCTGTGGAACAGAAAGGCAGGAACAGAGTAAGAGACATTGATACAAGAGAAAAGCAAACGTCTGAGACACTACTAACGGGAAACAGAAAAAGGAAGACATGAATGGGGAATAAGGAGAGAGAGAGCATGACAAGTTCCGTTTTTGACATGTTTAACTGGATGTGAAAACTGGATCACAAACACAGACATGTGAACTAGGAGAGAGAGCACCTCTAGGATGGATGAGCTCACTATACAAATGAATCCCAAAAAGAACACAAATACAACCAGGGACCTGGTGAGCATTCCCAGAACTCAGTAAGCCTATCATGTTATCTCATTTAATCCTCACGGCAACCCTTTGCAAAATGTGTAACTGAATTGTGCCACTTACAGATGGAGAAAAGGGGCTCAGAAATGTTAAATAATGTATCAAAGATCATAAGAAGTGACTGGACTGGAATTTGAATCAATGCTGGATTCAAAAATCTACATAAATTTTACTATGACAGCATGTTTTACCAGGAAGAAGAGATAACGTTAAAGGTGACAGAGAAAAAAATTCAAGGAAACTAATCCATGTTTGCCATACATGGCTCAAAAAATACAGACAGAAACGTTATCAGAGACTATTCACACTAGTTAAGACTAGCGACAATCTTTGTTTGAAGAGCTGGATAAAAATAAAAGGGTCCTTCATTACCCTAATCTATTCAATTCTTTAGTTTTATACAGCAATCTGGAGAGTAAGAAATACCTAGTATCTCACACAGACCTGAATAAATTCCATAATTAGTACTTTAATTCTTTAACTGCCGAGAGTCTGAATTCTGGAAACCAATACGTGTCATAAATCTTAAATCAAGCCTTCACATGATGTAAGTAGAGTACTTTTAACCAACCTTCATTAATGCCTTCCTCTCTGTCGCCATGAGACCGAAATTTCTCTATACTCTGGCATCCCAACAATTTGGTATTACTAGTCTGTCCCCTCAAAGGAAACATGCCACCTGTCAGGTCAAGTGTATATCTTTCTTCACAGTACTCTAACCCCTGTAACATAAAATATACACAAATCTTAATAGAGTTTTAAGCAAAGGGTCATTCAAAATTAAGCATTCTCCAAATTTAAAGATTGTTCACACAATACAAACACAAAAATTTAGTTTGAAGAGAACAGATTAAAAGGCTCTAAAATTTTATATACTATAAAGCACAAATAAAAAGTGAAATTTAGTCTCTCAAAAATAATTACCAACAAGTCTTCTAAAGCTGTCATCAAACATGGGAACCATCATGCACTACTGGCTGGAGTATAAACCGGAATAACCATCGAAACTACATATGCATAGATCCTAGGCCAGCAAACCTATTCCTGTGTTCTCACTGAAATTCTTGCTCTAGAATAGTTCTTAAACATTTTTTTTTTGCTCGTCAATCCCTTCATGATTCTGACTAAAAGCTATGAAACTTCCCCCAGGAAAATGCATAATCATAAAAATGCCACACATAATCCATGGGCTTTACGGATTCCCTAAAACCCATCCATATAGTCCTCAAAAACTAGGTTAAGAACGCCTGCTCTAGAGACAGGTATGTGAGGGTTGGCAGAGTATGGCGATTAGCAGCACCCCACTATTTCCTCAGAAATTCAGCCAGAGAAATAGGCAGTCATACACCCCCTTATAAAGACCATAGCTTACTCTTCTTTATATTAGTCAGTGCAACCAAGTGGTATTATTTTTCTTAGGTACCAAATAGGTTACAAGCTTGAGTCTAGTCCAATCCCCTCACTTTAGAGGAAGATGATACCTGGAGAAGTTAACAGTGCTACTTTAATAAGTGAAACAGATCTAATCTGAGGGATATTCTGATGTAGAGATCAGACAATCTCTTATCTAATATGTCTTCTACTATATTACAAATACAGTATTAATTTGAATATAATAGTAGCTTTTCAATATCTTAAAACAAAGACTATACACTTAAAACAGGGAAACAATGAACAAGATGGTAATATGATCCCTACAATTACCATTTACCTCATATAAGATTTGTCCTGATGCCAAACACTTTCTATCACCAAAGGCCAGCTGAAGCAGATGCAAACTCAATACATCCCCTTCACTGAAAGAAATAACATATTAATATATTAAACACCTCTTACTATCCAAATACATTTAGTCTGCATACAATGTTGAGTACATGTGACAAAACTAAGGTCACTGTAAAAAACATTTTTATTTGGTTGTTTTCACAAAATATAGTCCTTTAAAACAATAACTGATTTTTACTTTTTATTGATTCTAATTAACTGAAGTGATGTTTTATGTGGCAGAGATGATTCTTTATGTGGTAGAGACTTTAACTGTTTACCCAATATCCTTTCTCAAATATCCTTTCTTCAATAGTATGTTTTAGTTAGACACATCCCTGACTAAAATGTTTACATTTCCCCACTTTCTTTGCAGCTGCATGCAAGTAACCCAGTGGCCAAGTTCTGGTGAATGGGATGTAAACAGAATTATCCCATAGTAACTACAGAGGACCTTTCTTAAGGGACAGCATGTCCTTTGCTCCTCCTTCCTGGTCTCTTCGCTATCTTGCTATGCTTCTACCTAACATGAAGATGTTGCCTTGGACCATGAGAATGAGGGCTACACAATAAGGACACAAAGCAAAGATACCAAATCAACCCTGTACTGTTCAAACATACAGCATGATACAGTAAGTGTTAACAGCACACATTCCAGAGCCACATCATCTGAATTTGAATTCTTATTACTACTAGTTGGCCTAGCATACCGCATTCTCTTAATGTTCCTCATACCATACTATCTACTCTTTAGTCCTCTGCTGACTACTCTGCCCTCTTGTTTTCAATCCCCAAGTATCTAAGTACAGGGGGCTTTCAAGGCTTAGTTCCTAGTTCTCTTCTTTTCTCCAGCCATTCTCATTCACTCTAGGCCAGTGGTTCTTAACTCTGGTTGCTTATTATTAGAACTGCCAGAGGAAATTTGAAAAATACTAATGCTTAGGTCTTACAACCAGAAATTAATTTAATTGGTCTGAGGTAGCCAGATGAAATTCAAACACTTTTCTTATCCTGGCCTATACATCCCTATATGTAAACTAGTTTTACTTTTCTGGTCTTATCTACAACTACCATGTTCTACCCTTACTGGTCTTGCTTTTCCTTGAGATATCTTACTAAGAATTGTACATCCTTCTTTCCCAGATCTTCCCAGGGCTCTCCCCCAACTTCATTCATTTCACCCTGACTGACCACACTACGTAAAACAGCAGTTCCCTATGTTCCACCATACTCTATGTCCCCTTTTGCAGCTTTATTTTCCTGCATTTAAAATCACTATCTCAAGTTATATTAAACATATGTCCTAGTCTATTTATTTACTACCTCTCTTCCTCACTAGAATGTAACAGAAATTTCATTTGTCTTATGCATTGCTGTACTCCCTACAACATTTACTGGAACACATACTAATGCTCTGTGTGTTGAAAGAATATATACATGTCCATAAAGCAAAGACAAAGAGCCTCTAAAACCCACATAGTCAACAGGATAGACTGTATAGAACCAACATTAAAGGGTTCATTAAATTCATTTTTTTCATTCACTTTTCCATATTATGAAACTAAATGTGGCTTTTATTATAATTGATGAGCACTATGGCAACAATTTAAGATCTATACCCACATAATTTTATGGTGGTGTATTCACTCTACAGTGATTCTTTTTTTCTTCTTTTACTTTGTTCAAACAAAACAACTGATCTAATAGGGGAAAAAAAGACCACACCATCTATCTTTCTGATTTAGACTTATACACTAAATTTATATTATATTTATATCATAATCTATTCAAGGTGCTGAGTGATTTAATGACCAGGGGGGATGGAGGAAAACAGACATTGTAATATTACATACCTTTGTAAACTGACAGATTAATCTAAGAATGACTTAAAGTAGGATTTCTGAGCTGTGGTTCCATGGGTAGTCTTAGGGCAAGTCTGCAAGCTCCCTTCAACTGTATACAAGATTACTTACATTTGTTCATACCTATGTGTGTGAGTATATACATTACATACACACACAACACTCACACCAGTATATAATAGCCTTCACCAGATTCTCAACAAGGTGCATAACCTACTAATTTAAGGGTCCTATCAGAGACAAAAATAACATATCTCAAAGAACCCTTATATCAATAATACTGACAAATTACAAGTCAAATTACATCTATCCTATTAAAAGATGATATAAAGTACTAGAAAGTGGTTTAAAAATCATTAGAGAAGCTGGCCAGTTAGCTCAGTTGGTTAGAGCAGGGTGTCACAACACCAAGGTCAAGGGTTCAAATCCCCTTTCTGTGCGTTAATTACTCAACGTGCTGTAGATAATAAAGACAAGTGAATTCTGGGCATCAGTATAAGAAAAAGAAAACACCACCCTGCTCATATTTAAAGCTGTGATACCTCTCTGCTTAGAACGCATATGTAGTTCTGAGAACAACTTCAAAGAAGGCCTAAGGGAACTGCATATAATTCACAAGGATTTTAGAAAAAAATCAGGAGGAAAGGTCAGATAGCTTAACGATTGTAAGGACAGAGTGGGTATCACCTACACAACTAAAAAGACTTAAAGTTCTACAAGATCCATAAAAATCAAGAATGGCATGGTAAAAGTGAATGCAGACTTATCCACCAAGTTCCAACATAATATGATAGGGAACTCCTTTAGATTTTAGTGTTGGGAATCTCAAATAAGTAAAAGAAAAAAGAATCCACACAAAGAAGAATACATATACACAACTTATCATCCCAAGGGGTAGTACTAGAAAGAAAAAAATAAATGGAATATAAAAATTGTTTCAATAAAAGTCATCCCTCATTTTCCCTCACAGAGAACTTTCACCAGTCACATTCCTAAAGCTGCTGCTGGCCCACATTATACCCAGGTGGATAAGAATATACATGTGATTCAATGAGGGGAGTCCCAGCAGCTGTTTCTGTATTTTCACTTCAATTTCCTCCAGGATTCAAAAATTTCAAAAGTGGCAAACCAATTCTTCATTCACTGACTCACTACAGTGCAGAGTAAGACAAAGACTAAAAGTGGGCATATCCAACACAAAGACCCAAACTGACCACAGACAGTTGAGGTACCTAGAATGTAAGAATATGAATTTAGGAAGAGAAAGTTCTGGGAACTGTAAATGATTAAGATCATAGCATTTATACTACAAACTTTACTATTTCATCATGGAAAAAAAGAACACCAAACAGTAAGGAAAAATCAATAATCGTACTCTTCTAGCACTGGAAATGAACAAGCTTAACCAGTTAAAAACTAAATTGAAAGGAAAGATTTCCCACAAGCCATAGATAGGTAGAACAAAATTAGAGTTTATGATAACAGGAAAAGATTAACCAAATTAATCCCAGGAAAAGGTAAGTAGAAGGACTACAGAACAAAGTGGGGGTAAATAAGAATGAAAGGGAGGCATACGACACAACAGAGGTACAAAAGGTGATGGGATTACAAAAAAGTAAATATATTAGTATGAGTACAAAGCCATAAAAATTGTCTCAGGAGGGGCCAGCACGGTGGCGCACTGCTACAGTGTGCCACTTGGGAGCGCGGTGGCGCTCCCGCCGAGGGTTCGGATCCCACATACAGACCAGTTCCCGCTCACTGGCTGAGCGAGGTGCGGACGCAACACCGAGGGTTGCCATCCCGTTGCCGGTCCCGGTCCGGTATGGGCGCGACACTGAGGGTTGCAATCCGTTGCCGGACACGAAAAAAGACAAAAAATGAAAGAAAAAAAAAATTGTCTCAGGCAACAAGAGTTTGCTACTTACCTGCATTGGCTTACTCTTTGAGGTAACATTCAAATAAGTCAAGTAAGCACGATTTCTTCTTACTAATATCTCAACATGTACGTAGAAACAATCATTTAACTTTTAAAATAATTTCAACTACTACTCACTAATTCACTGAATTATGTTGCTTTCACTAGAAGAGACTACACAGTATTCTACAAAGCTCTACAGAAGAAATTAACTGTTCCATTTTTGACAAATATTTTTTAAAACCACATGCAGCACACTTACCTATCTTGTGTAGATTGAGCAGCCCACAAGTAACAGCAATTACGAGGATCATTCTCGGGTTCTTGAAAAGTAATAGCATATACAGGAACTCTTCCACCTTCCAATTGTGCGTAATATCTAACATAGACAAAAAATATTTTTAAAAATATTCATATTTTTAAGTTATAATTCTATGGAGATGGAAGGAGGTGCCTCATGTAAGAATTTGCATTAAGCAACTGCTGTTCATATGAACCCCACAGTTAAGTGATTTGTGGGGCATGGCCAAGTCACCTTATCTTTAAAAACGTAAAGGGCACAAGATATCAAGACTATGGCCATGGCACCCATCCCCCAGGTAGAACTGGGGAGGGTTAGAATTACTAAAGTATTTGCATATATCTTTGTGTGAACTAATTCTTAAGAGTCACATCAATGTATGCCACTACGAACTGCTCCTCAATTCGGGGTACCCTAAAAAGAGATTTAATACTGCCCACAATACTCCATTTCAGCCACTTTGGTTTAGAGTCAGTTTCCCTGCTACTAGAACAGAAGATGAGTTAGAAACAAGCGTTTCCATAAACCTCTTAAAAAGCATAATTAGCCAAGAGATAATCATGCTAGAAAAAACACTGTTGTAGAAAGCGGGTACTTCTTTAGGAACAATTCAAAGACAAGAGCTGATAAATATCAGCCAAGAAAGTTGAGATGAACTTCCCATAAGATAAATTACTAAAGAAAAAATGCCAATATACCTTGAAAAAAAGGGGGAGATACAAATAAATTGACAACTTAAGTGTCGAATTGGCATCTGGCTAACTCTTAACAGAGATGAACTTAAAAATCTTTGTCTAATTTGCTACCTCCCTCAATATTATAGGTAATATTAACGCCATAGATAACAAGTACTAATATAATTATGTTTGGGGGAGTTTCTGACAGCATAAATTTTTTTAAAAAACAAGTATTTTATAACTTTGATTTAAAAAAATCCTGTTTTTGTCAGCTGAGAACACTTTATTAAACTGCCACTTTACATAGACGGTTATAGGGAAGAGCACCTCTGAAAGTACTCATACTACACAAATACAGTTTTTCTTTACAGTCATGCTTTATTAGAAAATGAAACACTATAATACATGCAATGCTTTTTAAATAAACACTGAAAGAATCAACCTAAATTCATGTGCTGTCACTCCTTCATCATATCAAATTATGACAGTGCAATGAAAAATTATTCATACTCATTAATCTACCCTACCGTTTTCTTATTACGCTAATTTTCAAATATGACGAGTACAATTTATATTCAAAAAGAAACTACCAATAATCAAATAAGAGAAAAAAGTTATACTTACTCCCTTTTCATTCTTTTCATATTCCAAAGTGCTAGATAGCCATCAGAAAAACCTACAGCAAGCTGGTTTGTCCTGTTTATGTAACTAAGAATTGTAACGGCTGTTCCTGACGGACTTACTAACTGGAAAGACAGATGGCGTCCTTCTCTCATCACACTTTCTCTGATGTGTGGTACTTCAGCCGGGATACCTGTTATAACTTCAAGGTCTAAAAACAATAAAACAAGATTAACAAACTATGAACAGCATAAAAGCAAATGTGTCATCCATTATTCAAACCACAAATGGAATCGACTTGAGTCAATTAAACGGAGCCAATTAAAATAAAGATTAGTGGGGCCAGCCCGGAGCGCGGCGGCACTCCCGCCGCGGGTTCGGATCCCATGTGTGGACCGGTTCCCGCTCACTGGCTGAGTGCGGGGCGGGCACAACACCGAGGGTTGCGATCCCGTTGCCGGTCCCCGGTACGGGCGCAACACCGAGGGTTGCGATCCCGTTACGGTCAGTAAAAAAATACAAAAAGGAAAAAAAAGGGGGGGTGGCGGCCTGTGGCTCACTCAGTAGAGTGCGGTGCTGATAACACCAAGGCCATGGGTTCGGATCCTATATAGGGATTGCCAGTTTGCTCACTGGCTGAGCGTGGTGCAGACAACACCAAGTCAAGGGTTAAGATCCCCTTACCGGTCATCTTTTAAAAAAATAATAAATAAATAAAAAATAAAGATTAGTGATGACAAAGCATGCTGAACTAGGAAAAGCCCACTTTATCTATTAAAATGCTAAAATTTTAAAAATACATTTTAATTGTGTAATTTTTAAGAAATTCTCTCAGTACATCTCAAATACTATCTAAGGGTAGAATCTTTTTTTTAAAAGGGTTAAACATTTTCTTAACAATCATAAATAAAGCTGATTATTTATTCAAATTCAGAACTACAACTTAAATATTTCCTTGAAGGAATGGCTAATTCTAGGTCTGGAGCAGGAAATACGTAAGATGAGACTGGTATATCTTATGCCAGAAATCTAGGAAGTTATCAAACACTAAAGGAATGTGTCAGACAACATGTGGAGCTCTCATTTGCAAAGACAGGACATTTTGAGCATCAAAAACAATAAGAACAAGTAAAACATTAAGTATGATAAACCTCATGAGTTCATAATAATACTCAAAAAGAAAAAAAAAAAGTGAGTGTGGGGGGGAGCCAACCCTCCCCACCTGCAAAAGACCTTATATTGAACCATGGGAAGTAATTTGATACAAACTCATTACTGTGAAAACTAGTACTGAAACAGTAAACACTTATCCTGCCTTTTCCGTACTAATTATATTTCAGGGTAAGCAAATAGCCCTAGTTAAGGAGAAAATCTTTTTCCAGACTGACAGAACTTAAAAATCATCATTTTGCAACCTCTAATGAAATAAGATTAATGAAACAATCTCAATGAATGAAACAATCAGTTTAAAGCAGGGTTTTTCAACCTTGGCACTATCGACATTTTGGGTCAGACAATTCTTTGCTGTGGAGGTGTTATTGGTCAAATGTATCCCTCAAAAATTCATTTATTGCAAACTTAATCTCCATCATAACAAATCCAACTATGACATCTGAAAGGTGGGGTCTTTAAGGTGATTAGATTGTGAGGACTAGTGAATGGATTGATCCATCCATGGAGTAATGTGTTGATGGTTTAATGGGTGGTTATGGGTATGGTTTATGATGGTTTTATAAGAAGAATGAGTGAGCTTTGCTCTCACTTGCTCAGCCAATAGCCATGTGATACCCTGCGTCACTATACAGAGCCACCACCAAGAAGACCCTAACCAGATGCACCCCAGCACTGTAGGAAATAAATTTCATTTCTTTATAAATTACCGAGTTTCAAGGATTCTGTTACAAGCAACAGAAACCAAACTAATCTACAGGAGGGCTTATCCTGGTTTCTAACTACTAGCAGCCAGTTGTGGAGTATTGAATAGCAAGCTGACAAAGTCCTTGCTATTCTAGGGATTAAGCCAGCAAGGCTGGCTTCCTGTTCTGCCTGCTTTCCCCTTCGCCCTCCCCTTGAGGTATGACCTTTGAACCCAGAACCCTGAGAGCTTTGTAAATGAGTTAGCCATGAACCTTCAAATGCTGTGGCAGCTGAATGTTCTATAAATAGCTATGTACCAGACATACTGACTTAATCAGTACAATTTGGTTTTTTTACTGGCTTATTAAAAGGAACCTAAAATAAACTAAGATGCTTCACAAGTCATCAGCGTGTATAGTCCTCCTGATCCCATAAGTGTGTTTCTTCAATTCCCCACTGTCTCCCCTTGGGTACTGGTCAACAACAGCCAGTAGCATCATCTTCCTCCAGTATTAACAACGAAAAATATCTCCTGGCATTGCCAAACACGAGGATAAAATTCACCACAGGTTGAGAGCCACTAGTTTCAAGGTTGATGGGAAACCTTAAAAAGGAAGAATCATGCCGTCATCATCTGAACCCCCTTATCACTGTCAAACAATTAGACATCATTTTCCTTCTGATGTGATACAATATGAAATGCCCCAGGGCCATCCCGTGGCTCACTTGAGAGAGTGTGGTGCTGATAACACCGGGGCCGTGGGTTCGGATCCGTATATAGGGATGGCCGGTTAGCTCACTTGGAAGAGTGTGGTGCTAACACCACCAAGTCAAGGGTTAAGATCCCCTTACTGGCCATCTTTTTAAAAAAAAAAAGGGGGGGGGCTGGCCTGGTGGCGCACTGCTACAGTGCGGCGCTCCCACCGAGGGTTCGGATCCCACATACAGACCGGTTCCCGCTCACTGGCTGGGCGAGGTGCGGACGCAACACCGAGGGTTGCGATCCCGTTGCCGGTCCCGGTCCGGTACGGGCGCGACACTGAGGGTTGCGATCCGTTGCCGGACACGAAAAAAGACAAAAAGGAAAAAAAAAAAAAAGTGCCCAGCACCTCCAAAGTATCCTTGACAAAATGTTAAACCTTAACCTATAATCAAAATTAACTTATATTTGCAGAAAATAAAAAAATATAAATGACACCACATGAAACCACAGTTAATTCCAAAATGTGGAGCATTCTACCAGATAACTAACTTTTTAGCAAGTCAGTGGCACTAACAATAAATAAATAAAAACAGAGGATAGAAAAAGGATAGTTGTACATTCAAGGAGAGTTGAGATACAACCATCAAATACAATGTGTGGACCTTGTTTGAATCCTGATTCAAATGAAAACATAAAAAGATGCTTTATACAATCACAGAAATTTGATTATGGGTTGGGCATTAGACTATACTAAAGAATTATTATTAATGTCAGGAGTGGTAATGGCATTATGATTATGTAGTACAGTATTTGTATTTGCTTTAAACTAATGCAGAGGAAAAGAAGGAAAGGGGGAATGGGAAATTAAAAACATGCACAAATGGTAAATCTTAAAAATTAACTTGAATTTGTGTGATGAATATATGAAAATTCTTGTATTCTATTTACTTGAAGATGTCTGAAATCTTTAATTAAAAAGAAAAAAATAAAGTAGGGCTGCCTGGTTAGCTCAGTTGGTTAGATCACACCCTTTAACACCCAAAGTCAGATTCCCTCAATGTTGTTATGAAGAAGGAAGAAATACATATCACATTGTACTTGAACAGTTACCCTCCCAATCCCTTCTGCTTCTGATAACTTTTTCAGAAAACAGCATGTGATTAAATTTTGCCAAAGTAAACAGTTCACACAATGGAATATTATAAACCTACTCAAAAGAATAAGGTGGGCCTTTATGTACTGATATCAAAAATGTGTAAAAAAATATTGTTAAGTTTGGGAGAATTGCAAAACAATACTTATACAATGATATGTGCTAGGAACTTTATTTTCTATTTTAGAGTATTTCAGCAAAATCTAAACAGTTGTAATCAGAAATTACTTTTGTAAGCAAAAGAAAAATTTTGCACTAAACCCCAAAACTCAATCCTTTTGTGGTATAAAATTCAATTGCCTCTTAATTCTCATAATAAAATTGTCTTTGTACATCTATTGCTTGCTGACTTTTCAATTAAAGGATGTTTTTTGTTTGTTTGTTTGTTTTTAAAGATGACCGGTAAGGGGATCTTAACCCTTGACTTGGTGTTGTCAGCACCACGCTCAGCCAGTGAGCGAACCGGCCATCCCTATATGGGATCTGAACCCGGGGCCTTGGTGTTATCAGCACTGCACTCTCCCGAGTGAGCCACGGGCCGGCCCTAAAGAATGTTTTAATGCTACCACTTTGAAGAGTTTTAATTATGAATACAAGTATTTTAATTAGCCTTACACCTATAATGACATCATCCACAAAACACACTCTGAAACAAAAGCACATCAAGCCTATTTAATTCTTTGATCAATTTTCTTTTTAAATAAAAAAAAACTATTTACTTAGAAGCATTCAGAACGTCAATAAAACGCTGCAAATTTTTTTTTTTAATTACAGCGTGGTATTCAGTTAACAATTATTTCATATAAGTGGCATTAGACTGAAGATGGAAAAACCGCCACCTATATACATAACTAATTTGTGCTGTACACCAATAAAAACATGCATTAAACTTCCATGCTGATTTACAACCCTCAAACTGTACCAGGCAAGGTTAGTGGCTACTGAAAATACCACCAAGACAAGGCTAACCAAAGACACATTTGGTAGCATGTTAACTATACAGAAAAAGCACTGTACAGTTTAAAAACAAATCTTACACAGCCTTACACTTCAATTTTTCTTAAAAGGAGTGAGTTGTGTACTGGGGGGAGGGGGGGGTAAATACTTTACAGACAAGAAAAAAAAAAACTGCACTAGAATCAACTTATTTTTCACCATCATCTTCCTCCTCCTCTTCCTTGTTTTCAGCCTTGTCAACTCCCTTTACCTGCTGCATCAGACTTTCCTTCAGCTCAGTATGCAGCAATATCCTTTTTGTATTTTTCCTTCAGCTTAACAGCCTTTTTTCATAAGGCTACTTGCCATCTGCAGCAGTGCTATTCCACATCTCTCCCAGTTTCTTTGCAACCTTGCCAACAGACAGGGATGTTCTTTGATTTTGGGGCAACATTCACAACAGAACAACAAAAAGGCCAAAGGAGTCCATCTTTCTGAGCACTTAGAAAACCCTGAGAAGATAAATGAAACATCTGGATGCTGCTTCTTGTGCTCCTCCTAG